AGCCAATCCTGGCTTTGTCTGTAACTGCTATGCACTACGCCTGAATAAACTAGCTTTCGTCCAAGCCTGTGACTCACGAGGTTTCTGTTCAGCGCTGAATGCAGCGACTCTTACACAAGACAATGCTGTATACTCTCCCCTGATTTATTCAACCTACATGCTGGATATATATTAAAGGAAACTGGACTGGAAGAAAATTAAATGGTTTTAAAACTAGAGGAAGAAACATCAATAACCTGCACTATGCTGATGACACTATCCTGATAGCCAAAACTGCAAATAATCTGCAAGCCCTAGTAATATAAGACAAGGAGCGCAGTGAAAAAATAGGACTAAAATTAAATCCAAACTAATGGCAACTGCTACATGCAACCAGCCTTACAATTGGCAATGAAGATACTGAAGTGATGGATACCTTCTGCCTTTTAGGATCAGCCATAAACAGCAAAGGAACAAGCATATGCCATAGATTAGCACTTGGTAGAGTAGAAATGAAGGCCTTGGAAAACATATTCAGATGGTATGATGTGTCTATACCTGCAAAGATCAGAATAGTCCAATAAATGGTATTCCCTGTGACCCTTAAGCAAAAGTTGAACTTTGAAGAAGTTTTTAGACTATGATGTTGGAAAAAAACTTCTGAGAATACCATGGACAGCCAAAAAAACAAATGGATCATCAAACAAATCAACTCAGAGTTCTCATTCGAGGCACAAATGACCAGGTTCAAATTATAGTACTTTGGACACATTATGTGAAGACCTAGTTCTTTGGAGAAGGTTCTAGTGCTGGAAAAGGTGGAGGGAAAGAGGATGTCCAGCAGCAAAGTGGATAGACTCGGTTACAGTGGCAATTGCTGCAGTATTGGAAGACCTAAAGGACCAGGTTAAGGGACAGATGCATCCTGGAGAAGCCCTATCTATGTGATTGCTAAGAGTTAACACTGACTTGATGGCACATAATCAATCAAAAAGTTTAGTACCTTGGACATCAGGAAAGCAGCTTTTACAAACTCAGAACACTGATAACTATGGGGAAATGATCCTAAAGAAGGAAATACTGAAAGCACAATTGCCAACAATTCCAAGAAGAAGGGGAAAATGGAAGTTAGCAGAAGAAGCTAATGCCCTTAAGGAGTAGAGAAGAGAAACAATGCATATTTTCTGTATAAAAAGTTATATGAGTTTCAGCCTCCCAAGTAGACTAAACAGGAAACATGAGAAGATGAGCACGGGTGGGATCTTCCCTCACCTGGGAGTGTCTGGTTTTGAATGTGGATGTCTGATTGGACAGAGGGACTTTACCCCGGATCAGGGACCCCGAAGGCCCAGGATTGGAGGTATTTGGTCCTGGAACCCCCAGGGACTATGCTACACTATCAAGGTGGTGACAGGTAGGGGACAATATGGCAGGAGTTGGAGGGTGGGCCACCTTCAGGGAAGACACTCCCAGTGTGTGTTACCGCTGATGTGTTCCGGGCCTCCTTGCTCGCTCCCAGGCCCTGGTCAGCAGGTTCACAGGGGCCCTGGCCTCCAGTTGCTGCTGCTTAATGCCAGGTTGGTTAAAAACAAGGCCCCCCTCATATGTGACTTGATCACCGAGGAGAGGGCAGACCTGGCATATATTACCGAGACCTGTCTGGGGCCAAGGGGGGGTGCCCCTCTCGGAAATGTGCCCAGCTGGGTTCATGGTGTGGCACCAGCCAAGATGCCAGGGCAGGGGAGGAGGGGTGGCTATCGTCATCCAAGAGTCTCTTGTGGCCTTCAGGGGTATTGCTCCACAAGTCTCCAGCTGTGAGACACTGTTCCTTAGGTTGGGCTCCCGCAAACGGTTGGGAGTGCTGCTACTGTACCAGCCTCCCTGCTGTGTGGCAACCTCCCTACCTGAGCTGCTGGAGGCCATCTCAGGGCTGGTGGTGGAGTTCCCAAGGCTTATGGTTCTGGGGGACTTCAACATGTCATCTCTGGGATGGACCTCAGAGGTGACTTGGGAGTTCATGGGTACCATGGCAGCCATAGGCCTGTCTCAAATTGTGTGGGACCCAACCTGAGACAATGGCCACATGCTGGATTTGGTCTTCTTGTCGGAGCAATGGCAAAGAGATCTGAGAGGAGATTTACAGCTTTCCCCGTTGTCATGGTCAGGTCATGTCCCGGTGACCCTGAGTTTCTCCTATGCCACCCCCCTCTGTAGGGAGGCAGGACCCATGCATTTGGTCCACCCCCGCTGCCTTATGGACTCATCAGGGTTTCAGAGGGAGCTGGGGGGTATTCTCGTGGATCTGCTGCATGGTCCAATGGAGGCCTTGGCTGCTGCTTGGAATAGGGAGACACCCGGGGCCTTGGACAGGATCACGCCTACGCCACATCAGCCTCAACACTCCCCATGGTTTACAGAGGAGTTGAGGGTGCTGAAGAGGGTCAAGAGACATCTAGAGCGCTGCTGAAGGAAGACAGACCGAATCTGACAGAACACAGGTTAGAGCCACTATCAAGGCCTACATTGTGGTGATAAGAGTGGCGAAGCGCCAATACTTCTCTGCCCTTATCGCATCCACAGAGTGCCGCCTGGTAGCCCTGTTTGGGATCACTAGATCCCTTCTTGGTAAGGGGGATCTGGGGATTGATT